CTGCCAAAGTCCTCTCTACCATAAAAAGGCGAGAATCAGGTTTCTTTTTTTTAGAAAATCAAATTTTGAAATCTTAAATCAATCGCTTGGAGAGTTTTATCAGGGCTGAGAAGGAATTTCGTTTCAATGATCCTGAAAGAACGGAGTTAAATACTTGTTCTAAGTTATCCATTATATGGCCCTGTTCTGCAAGCCTGAAAACTCTTGGAAGCCTGTAAGCAATGTAATTTGTTGTGAGGTGAATCGGAAGTTGTTGTTTGGAGACTTTTCCAGTTAAGCCTTTTGTTTTGTTAAGCTTTGCCTCTTGCGCCTACGTGATGTTTTGGTAGATTTATGTTTTTTTGGCTCAGCTCGTGGATTTCCTTGTTACCGTGTTAGACATTTAGACAATTAGACAGTTTCACAGGTGGTCGTGTTTGCGTTGGTAAAGCTGGCCTTGAGTTCTACCCACACTGAAGTTCCTGTTTGTGTGCGCAATTCCTGTGCGCAGCTGTTAGGTTTGCGTGCGCGATTCCTGTGCGCAGCTGTTAATGTCCAATTTGTTCCTTGGCGCTCGACGAGTACTTCGGTGAGGGCCACCCAGTTTCCCCCTTTTTTCAAAATAAACGGATACACTGTGGAAACTCTCACGGTCAGCTAGCCCAAACATGTCTACGGTTTTCCTACTCAGATGCACATAGCATTAGATGCATAGAGCGTCGCTGTAGTAGCTCTCGAGAAGAGAATAAAAGAGGAAGAGTACAGAGTCTTGGCATCTGTCGTTAATTCGGCCGAGCAAGCTGTAAAACCCCAACATAATGAACAGGACTGACAAATGGGAAAAGTCTCCACCAAAAGATCATTTTTTGTTGAAAAGTCTTTAACTGGTCGAAACGCACACGATCCTAGCCTCCCAAATGAAAGATACTGCTTTAAAAGAGTGGATAGATCTCGATGTTCGTTCCGAACGCCCACCTCAGTTCTAAGTGTTGTTCGCCCATTCTAAGCTATACTAAGAAGTTTGGCTGAAAAGACTGAAAGGCCGGCGAACACAGGTGGACAGGCTAACATAAGGAAGTATGTTGCAGATAAGGTGTAGCATCTTCATTTCAGATAAGGTGTAGCATCAGTTCATTTCATATTGTCAAATGTAGTGGACTCATATTCCAAAAAGTTCATTCTAATGTTTTTGCCTCCGTTGAGTGCGAAAATGAAAGCCAACATTTCTAATTCGTAGGCACCTAAAGCCTTTTCGTTTTAATTAGTAACTGCACCCTACGGGAATCGTTTTCGCGTGGACGGAGATAAAAAATATGCGTTTCTTAGTGTCCTTTCAGCACACACGACTCACCCCGTCCACATTTACATTAAGACTTTGAAGCTCAAGTTTTGGTCAGCATACATCATTATTACTGACAAATCGATATCTTGGCAGATCAAGTTCTTTACAATCCGTGTGTCGCAGCCAAGTTTTGGTTCTGAAAATTTCCGAGAAAATTTATTTTCAATAGCAGCCAATTTATGCCAAATATTTTCGTGATTCTTTACTTGACTCCTCGCTTCAAAAATTATAACAGAAAAATAATTTCGATCAGCGTCTTTTTAATTTGGTTTTTAAATCCCTCTTCAGTTTCATAAAATAATGCAATTATATACCACTGAATTAATTTATCGAGGTTACTCTTCAGATCAGGATCATCGGAAAAACTTGACAAGAAACAACTTTCATTTGCTTGAAATGAATTGACATACAGCGTTTCTAGCCGATCAAATCATACCTGACGGTGTCGGCTTGAAATTCAGGAAGAGTAAAAATTGAACTCTTTGATGGTTACAGCCGTAAGTGGTTTGAGCGGCCGGACTGTCGTGTTTCCTCAGGAACACTTTGCCATTTCTTGTCCATGCGAGCTTGAATTGGTTGCTCCTCTTAAATGATAGGACTAAATAGAGTAATTCTCCAAGCTTGGGTATAAGGCTTTCGTTTATGTAGAGTATCTAATGTATTTCTTTCTCCTTGAAACTCCATAATATCTCTACCGTTACAAAATCACTCGCTAATATTCCTACCTAATAGCTAATAATCTGTTGAATTAGATTTCAGGAGAATTTCACAATGAGTGTTCATTACACTCAGAAAAAAGTTGTTCTCGAGGCCCATTGAGAAACAATTCTGAACGTTTACAATTCAGTTGACTAAAAAATTCAAGTGTAAATCTTAGATTGTACGCTAAGTATTTTTCGAACAACTTCCTATAAGAATATTGGGATTTCAAGGATTTGATGAAAGATTCTATGACGGCCAAACTTTTGAGAGCTAAATTAATGAAGGGTGAAAGTTTCTAGAGAAACAGTGGTGCTGCGTCGGTTGGGTAACAAGATAATTTGGTTATATCAACTATCGTCATAGCGAATGACGAAGGGCTAACGCTCAAAACGTCAGCCTTTTCACTCGTTACGGTGGCCAATTTACAATTTCTACTTAGTTGATCTAACCAAAGTTAAAATAAGATGGAAAAAAATTCAGTAATCGGATCTCGATTGATGAGTGGCTAGACTTCCAAGTTCCGGTTGAAATTGTCACGGTTTGCTCCTCTATGATTGCATGATAATGTCCCTTGTCCCTTGCTGCGTAGATCGCTTTCATTATGATCTCATAAAACCACAGTTCACATATATGATTTCATATATTCACAGCCATTAATGTCCCTTGAATCGTTTACCTTGATGTTAAATGAAAATATTCGTCGCAATTTTACAAAATAGGCTTTTCGATAACACGAAACAAATTGCTCTGAATTCAAATAAAAAAATGTTTAAACTGCATTTGTAGCTTTCTTGTGAATAAATGAGCTACGGGAGAAGTATTGCGCTTGCCAAACAACATTCTTAAAATAGAGTGTTTACGTGTTCCTGTTTGCTCGTTCAGAACTTCCCGTTGTGTTGACCTATTCTCTATTATTAGATATGATAGAAGTCACGCAAAAAACTGCTGCGAATAGCCGTTACCGTTAACACTTCATTAAGTGAGTTCAAGAAATTCACTTTTTATAAAGTGCAACATAATTTCTTCAGCTTATTAGGTTGAATGGTGCCTACAAAACAAGGTTTTTCCAGGTATTTTTAATGAAAAGGAGTACCCTCGCGTCAAACGGAATTCAATACGCTGCGAAGCATGGTGTTGAATGGTGCTCCACGTAATTTCCGTTGATTCACGTCACTCTTAACACTTCATTGAAATTCACGTTTGCAAAGAGGAATATGATTTTTTAGCCAATTATGTTGAATGGTGCCAACAAAGCAAACCTTCGCGTCAAACGGAATTCAATGCGGTGTGAAGCAAGTTTCATTTGAAGAGTGGTTTCTATCGATCAGTGACGGTAAGGTTTCCAGTTCAAGAGAAGCAAAATCAGATTAACTTTTGGGTGAGTAGAAAGAATTCATCCACTAAAGATGACTTATAAGAACTGAATAATTTTGCAGAC